TTCCGGCCTGCCTGGTAGAGATTCCTAAACTGTAAATATACTTCTGAAAATGTCAGAGAAGGAGAGAACATTTTATTTTAAAGCTTATGTAAAAAAAATCATCAACAAATAACCTTGTTAAAAGTTTATCATTCTTGAAATTCTTTTTGGCTATTTTCATTGACCCTATATTCTTGCTGGTACTCCTACTCCATAGGCGATAACACCTGTCTATCTTACTGGTTCTGTTTCCTTTTCCAACTCTGTTGACGAAGATGCCCAGTCCTTTAAAAATCTATCTACCTTTTTCTTTCTTCCTCTTTTTCTTTCTCTTTCTTTCTTTCTTTCTTTCTTTCTTTCTTTTTCTTTCTTTCTTTCTTTCTTTCTTTTTTCTTTCTTTCTTTCTTTCTTTCTTTCTTTCTTTCTTTCTTTCTTTCTTTCTTTCTTCTTCCATACTGGGAAATGAACACAGGGCCTTCACACTAAGCTACATTCTCAGCCCATTTTATTTATTTATTTATTGTCTTTTTGAGGCAGGGTCTCACTATGCAGTTCAGACTGGCCTTGTAGCAGAGGCTAGTCTCAAATTCACAAAGATCCTCCTGCCTCACCCTCACAAATGCTGGGATTACAGGCGTGTGCCACCATGCTCAGTTCTCAGCCCATTTAAAAAAAAAATTATGAGACAGGGCCTTGTTAAACTTCTAAAATTCCCAGGCTGGGCTTAATCTCACAACCCTTCTGCTCAACCTCCCAAAGTTCAGGTGGATTTCAGGTGGGTGCCACCACTCTAGGCTTAATTCTTCTTCTCTTGACAGATGACTCTTCTAACCTTTCAACTCTATTGTCAACTCTCTGTGTCTATTTGTTTTGGGGAGCACCAATATGTGACTGTCTCTGGAATTTAGATATCTAATTATCAGCTCAAACAGCAAACCTTATCTTTTCTCCCAAAACATTCCCACATGGAAGACTTCAGATTGGTCATTGGCTCTTCAAGTCTAGCAGTCACCTCTAGGGTACGGAGTCTTCCAAGTCTTTCTGTGTGTCTGCCTCTTCTTGTCACTGCAATTAAGTGGGTTCCCAGATCCTATAGGGCTTGCCTTGATAGTACCTTGGGAATCCATCCCTTCCTCCCCGCTTATAACCCAGTTCCTTCTTGCTAGGCATCCTGTTGTCCCAAGGCCAGCCACCTGTCCTAAATTCCTACAGTTCCTATGCTGCTCAGCATTTCCCACATGCTTCTTTGTTTTCTTATTTACCTTTTAGTTTAATGTCTCATTTTCTCAGATAATTAGCTTCTTGAAGGCAGAGATCAGTAATTGCTTCACATCCTGTTTCTACCAGTTGGGACAGAGTTGAATATCTATTTAGTCCAGTTCTCTGATGACAGAGATGGTGAAACAGAGGGTTCCTTCTGGTAAACTTTGCAGATTCTGCCCCATTGAACACCAAAACCCTAAGTAGAATCATTCCACACAGGCATGAAACAGAGGGAGGGGTTAGGTTAACACAAGAAAGCAGAATTACAACTTCTTAATGGATACAGGCATCTGAAAAACATGGAACTTTAGGGTCTGCTAAATTGGATATTTGAAAAAATTACTGTCTCTTTTGAAGGAGCTCTTTATTCACTTTCATATTTATTTTCCAATGTTACTCTCCAACAAGTTTGTAGAGAAGCATTATCATTGCCCTTTACAAAAGGAAAACAGAAGCTCTCAAGTATGGTTTGACCAAGACCCCAGGGCCCAATGGTATTGGAACCATGTCTTCTGCCTTAATTTCCTCATATCAGATAAAATCAGTTCATCTGAGGCCTGGGGAGGACTAGGCAGATACACTTTTGATTTTGTTTTGTCCTAAAGACATTTGCAATTTGGTGAGAAACAGATGGTGAACATATTAACTTGTAACTCAAGGTTTGAATTCACTAAGGGTTAATAAGGACACAAACAAAAAGTGTGGGTGCACAAAAGTAGGGAGTGATTAATTCTGTCTTTGTAATAAACAGCAGCTGCTCAGGGCAGCTTTTGACAGTGAGGGCTTGTGAGGTGTGGATGAAAGCAGGTGTGGGTGTGTGTACAGACAACAGAATGGCTAGGAGGGGGAAGACGGCAGCATTTCCAGTGTGTTCCCTGGCTGAGGGAGCAGGAGGGCGGTGGGGGCTCAGGGTAGATGACAGTGTGAGGTGGTACAATGTGTAGGCAACATCCAGAGTCTATCTTCCTGGCTAGCTGAATTGAGCTCTGCTCCCAGCAGAGCCCAGTAGTTTGTAGGCATCTACATTTCTGATGACACTGCAGGTCGAATGTGCTAAGACTCAGGTGGTCTCTGCCCCATAAAGCATCTGCGAAGATGAAGCAATCAGCCTACAGCCCTGCTCTGATGTCCTCTGCTTATTTTCCAGACTGTCTTCATTTTTACCAATTTCCCCAATGTTTCCTCCCCATTCCACTATCTGCCTGTATTTTTCAACTTGTTGAAACTTTTAAGTTTGTTCATTTATTTTTTTCTAAGTAGATGGTTATTCTGGAGTCTACATCATGATAATCTCATGGATTTTGGCATACATTTATCCCATATGTCTAATTTATTTACTTTTAAGTCATCAAAATGTACCCTCCCTAAACGAGGTAGTTCATGGTTAGTAAGACACTTGGTTAGCTCTTCAGTCACCTTCTTAAAACATTTTCTTTTCTTCAATTGCAGGAGACCATGACTTGCAAAGAGTGTATGTATTCCCTGCAGTCTTTTAGTGTTATCAGAATTTAAAAGGACACTCAGGATCTCTTTGTGTTTCCCTCTTGCCCATGCTTACATTGAATGTGCATGTCTAGCTTCTGCTTACTCTCTGGTCAGCATTTTCTCAGTTTACTGTCAGCATAAGACAGGCCAGAGTAATGTTAATCACCAAATTGACTTTGGTTTTGTCTGATATCTCCTCCTAATCCCCAACTTTCCTGCCTGTTATTAACCTTGACAACGGCTATGCCTTTAGGACTCTGAAGCTATTTTGTGATTGTGTGTGTGTGTGTGTGTGTGTGTGTGTGTGTGCGCATGTGTGTATGTATGTTGCTTGGGATTGAACCTAGGGGGTCAAGCATGCTAAGCAGGCACTACACCAGTGAGCTATATCTCCAGCTCCATTATTACTATCATCTGCAAAATCAAAGGAATTTTTTCTGAAATTTGGCAGATTAGCCTTTGCCCTGATTTCTCTTAGCACTCTCATTGCTGTAAGAGGAGGGACTTCTGATGGGCAAAGAGAAGCAGAGTCTGATCTGCTGGTTCTTGCTTTGCATGTGAGTGAGCAGAGGATAAGGAGGTGCTTCACAGCAGGTCTTGATGGTTTTCTTGATAAGGAAACTAATCCTTTTTAATAACAGAGCATCAGGTAACTAAGTGAAGGGAGGAAAAGAAGAGGATCTGGAAGCAAATAAATGCCCACTAGGAACCTCACATACTTTAATGCATTTAATCCTTACAGTAATCTAGGAGAAATACTAATGGTTTGACTTTATAGATGAAAGTAAACAAGCTTTGGTGACCTGCTCAAGGTCACTTTGAGAATCCGTGGTAGAGGTCCAGTTCTTCCCAGTATTCAGAACTAGCAAACTGCTGTGGGGATGGGCGCCTCAGGAAATGATTTGGTGTTGGTGATGGTAGGATTTTTTTCCCCTAGGAAACAGCTGTGACCACCTAGTTGTCCTGCTGAGTCTTTTCAGGCTCTCTGAATACCTTGTATCCGTGTCTACAAGTGTTCCTATGTTCCTCTGAAGCTCTCTACACAGATAGAGGTCACACATTCCCAAAATGTAAATCAGTCAACCAGGCAGTTTAGAGATTCTTATCCACTTAGACCTTTGGCTCTTGCTTGTGTTGGCTGGAAATGTGAGTGTGGAGGGTCAACTTGGGGACTAGTATGTTGGAGAAGTAGAAAAGAAGCCCACACGAGATGTGTAGGAGCAGCTGGGGATTCTGCTCTGAGATTCAAGTACAGCCATTGCTGGGGGCGAGGGCTTGTATTGAAGGGGACTTGTACTGAGGAGATGAGCTGGCATGCTGTGTATACCCACGCACATTCACATGGTTCAGCTTACATACAGTTTACAGAATCTGAAAATACGGTCATCCTTTGGTACCCACAGAGGATTCAATCCAGGACATCTTCCCTTGTGGATAGCAAAATATGTGGCTGTTCAACACCCTCATATAAAATGACATCTTATTTGCACAGAACCTAGGCACATCCTCCCAGAGACTTCAAATCATCTTTAGATTACTTATAATACTGAATGCAAGGAAAATCTATGTAAAGGAAGTCATGAGGCTGAAAGTCTGTACAGATACAATTTTTAAAACAAAAAATTTTCATCTCAATGTTGATTAAATTTACAGAGTTATGGTTGTACTCCCTTTGGCCCCTCTAATGTCCCACATCTGTCCAAACTACCTGGATGTTCTTCAGCACCAGCCACCCCTTAATGTGCTTAGGTTTTTAATCCAAAACCAGATTCTCAAAAAGACCAAACACTTGGGAGGAAAGTATCTCTAGGTACATGGTATACACAGTTATATGATATTTATCCTATGGGAAAACACTAGTTAAGGGGATTGGCTGAAAAAAAAACATTAAATGCCTTCAATGTGGTCATGTTTACACTCCTTTTGTCAACCAAAAATGTGTTTGTTTAAGCAGTGTCTCTGGCTTATTATAGTCATCACTCCCTCTCAGTAGCAGATAATGTGGTTGAATTTCACAAGTGTATGTAAATGATCCAGAGCAGCAGGGCAGCTGTCTTCAGTCAACATTGCCACATAGTGATAATTCCCAGGAATTATGCATTAATTTTTCATTTTTCTCTATTTCTAAAACTGAATTTGTTGTTTCGGGCAAAATATAGATACGTAGCCAAACTATCTCAGTGCTTTGGTGGGAATGTGAAATGGTTCTGTAAAGTGCTTTGTGAAATTGAAGCTCCCGGCCAAAGCTACTTTGTTAAAAACCAGGTCATATATTAAAACAAGAAAAGACAGCAAACAGCTGTCTCAAGTATATTTTGTCTCGCTTTTCTGCACCCCATGGATTTGCCTTTCCAGAGACTGCTCTGTTGCACATTCATAACACATAGAGTCTTATTTCCAGCCATGCTTGTTCCTTCTGAACACTGGAGACACAGATCCCATACCAAGCTCTGACGACCTTGCCTCCTGCAGTTGCATCTGTTTAAGCGGTGGCCATCGTAAAGCACTGGCGCTTTCTCAGCATCACAGTAGTTTTCTTGTGTCCCTGACCTCAGGAGGGTGCTCTCGCTGGGGGAAAGTAAAAATTTGTCAATAAATCTGCTCTAGAACCTCGGGTTAAGAGTCTTGAAACTATAGACTTTGGTGATTTAGATATTGCCTTAAATCACTGTAATTTGTCAGAAGTTTTGTGTTTTCTTTTTTAGAAGAAAATTTCCATTAGGTTTAATCTTCATGGAACTAAATTGTATGACTCTTCAAAAGCCATTTCTAAATAATCAGCAGTTGTTTTTCTACTGACCAGAGAACGGGGTCATCAAAAGAATTATCTTGCCCTAAATGAATCGATAAGGTTTCTGCAACTTACCAAATTTTTCATGGAATTTGCTTTTGAAAAGAACTTAACAATTTGATTCCAACGTTCAACTGGAAAAGTCACTGAATGACAGTAGCCAAGACATTTTTGTAAAAAGAATAAAGAAGGTGGACTAACTCCACCAGATAACAAACTCCCAAAAGAACTCAGAATAATTAGAGTGGAAAGATCTCGTAACAGAAGGGTACAGAAGCAGACCATGTATATATGGTGCAACCCAGCTATCTTTAGGGCCCCACCTAGCCCCATGTATGTACAGAATTATATTAAAAAGCAATAGGAATCTGTGAGTAGAAGCCATATTTATGAAGATCTTTAGATTTGCATGGATTTTTTAAAAGTATATACCCTAAAATGTTTTCCAGAATTCCTCTCGAATCATCCTTCACTTTCACAAAGGTTGCAGATTGAGAGCAACTGCAGTATTCCCCTGCTCCCTCTCCCTGGCTTCCTGGCTCTGCCTTCCTCCTCTCCCACACTGTGCTCCCTATCCTAAAGGGCTGCCCTGGGGAAGAACAGTTCAGCTCTCACTTCGACTCCTTTTCTAGAAAGCAAGAGATTCGTAGGATTCTGATGATGAAAATCTTCCAGAATTCTGATGAACAAAAATTTTCAACTTCATTTATTTGGGAATTTCCTGTAACTTAAACCTGGCTCTCTCCAAGTCACTGGAAAGTGTTATCATTATTGGCTATCCACTTGGAAAAAATAAAGTGACACTTATATTTTCCAAAATAAACTTTTTGTAACTATAGGTATCAGTAGATTAACATACATAATTGCTAGATTTGGAACATAAAATTTATCTGTTAAGGTTTAGGTTAAATTGATAAAGGGAGTTTTCTACTTTGTATGTTTCTGAAGTGTTTTGAATTTCTTTTATAAAAGTTTGTGTTACTTTGGTAATAAAACAAAATAGTTAAAGCACTTATTAAGGGCTGAGGACATAGCTCAGTGGTAGAGTACTTGCCTATAACATAAGCAAGACCTTGGGTTCCATCACTAGCACTTTTGAAAACAAACAAATAAAAAGCAAACCTATATGCATATATGCCCCTACAAGACCATGACATTTGAGAATTGAGATAGAAATAGAAGTCTCATTTAAAAAATCCTTAACTATCCTTTTCCCATTTCTTTTAAAATTTCTATTAGATTATATTCAGTACAAATTTACTATTTTAATGTATGGATAGGAGTTTTGATGAACTTGAAAAGTTGTGTAAACACCAACATAATTAAGACAGAAACAGCCTCAGCACTCTTCCTATTCCTTTATCCTACTCCTTTGTCACCGTAAACTCATCCATCCTCCATCTTCCATCTCTGGGGTTGTGTTCTCCATCCCTGCTTAATGCCTTTTTCAGAATGTCAGAGAAATGGGATGTCAAAGAAATAGAACCATAGAATCTAGCTTCTTTCACTTAGCATAACATGTTTGAGATTTATCCATGATGTTGTGTGTTATCAATAATTTTATTCCTTTTTGTGTCTGAGCAGTATTTCATTGTATGTGTACACTGTAGTTTGTTTATCCATCCCCACTATAGAGACAATTGAATTATTTCCAGTTTTCATAATGACTAATAATGCTGCTATAAATGTTTGCACACAGGTTTTTAATGTTTTCACATAGGTCAATACCCAGGAGTTGGTTTCACGGAGTCATGTGGTATCAGCTTGTGTACCTTTGTAAGAAACTGCCAATTCTTTCAAAGGAGATCATATCATTCTGCCCTCCCACCAGCAATGCATGAGAGTTCCAGTTGCTCTTTATCCTTATCAACACTTGATACTGTCAATTTATAAAAAAATTTAAACAATTCTAGTAGATGTGTATTGATATTTTATTGATTTTATTTTGCACTTCCCTAATGACTAATCCTCTTAAGCATCTCTTCAAGTGCTTGTCATCTATATATAGTTAATACACTATGTATCATATACATAGTTACACTATGTATCATAATCTATGTATCATATACATAGTTAATACACTATGTATCATAATCTTGAAAGAAGTGTTCCTCAGTATAAGACACAGAAAGAAAGACTCTCTTACAAAGAGGAAACAAATAATAGCACAAAGTGTTTTTTCACTGAATTAAGAGAAACTAGTAGTATAAATAAAACAAGTTAGCATATGTAGTAAAATACTTTTGAAACAACAGAATAAGTGCTTTGGAGAAGTATTTGATCCCCCTACTTCCTATTCATCTATCTTCTCTTTTGCCCTCTTTCCCCTGCCCCTCCCCTGTCTCTTCCCTTTCCCCCCTCCTTCTTCCTTTCCCTCTCCCTCCCTTTCTTCTTTCTCTCATTTCTCATATAAGAGAAACCATGTGATATTTACACCTGTGGGTCTGACTTATTTCACTTAACATTAATTTCTCAAGTAGCATCCATTTGCCTATGGATATCAAGTTCATCTTGCTTTATGGTAGAGTAGTACTCTATAGTATATAAATAACATGAAGTTATTGTTTAATTATCCAACTTTAAGTGTCCTTTATATATGAGATACAAATTACTTATCAGTTGTGATGTTTGCAAATATTCCCCCTCAATGTGTAGCTTGTTTTTTAAAAAATTTTCTTAATAGTATCATCAGCAGGGCCAAAGATAGTTAATTTTGATGAAGATCAGTTATTTGCCTTTTCTCTTTTAATACTGTTCTTGTGGTATCATAGCTAAGACTTTTTTTTGCCTATCTCAAAATCACAAAATTTTCTCCTGTTTCCTTCTAAAAGTTTTATAATTTTTGTTTAGATTGGGACCTCATTCATTTGAGTGAATTTTGAAGTAATTTTTGAAGTATATGCATATAGATGTCCAATGGTCCTAACGCCAGTTGTAGAAACGACTATCATTCCTTCATATTCATGTTTATTTTAAAAGAAAGATATGATTCTGCTTAGCAAGAGAATTCAAATGTCTTCCAACATAAAGGGAAAAAATCCTTTAGATCATTTGATTCAGAAGTGACTGAAAGAGCCCTCGTGTTCCTTTTGCTCAAGAGAACACACACGATGTTTTGTTAGTAGTATCATAAAACTAAACATGTGTTATGCTTGATTTCTGGAAGTTCTACATTGCTTTTCTTTGCTCAGCTTTGTGTGTGTGTGTGTGTGTGTGTGTGTGTGTGTGTGTGTGCATGTGTGTGTGTGACTAGGTATCACAACTAGGGTTCCTCTGCCACTGAGTTACATCCCCTGACCCTTTTAACTGTTTTGAGACAGATCTTGCTAAACTTCCCTGGCACAGCTTGATGTTGTGATTGTCCTGCCTCAGCCACTCAGAGTTCTCGGCTTAGACACACTTCACTTCAGCTGGCTCTTTGCTCAGCTTTTTAGAAGTTTTAACCATTCAGAGCCCCAAGGATCAAGAAATGGTTATTCTTTTTTCAATAAATCTCGTGAAAACTTCCAAATGAGAATGGAAATTAAAGCTCATTTAAAATAATTATTTTTTAAAAAAATTATAAATATTTCACCTGTGCAATAAAATACAAATAATAAAGAGAAATCATCTGAACATAGACAGCAGGGACATTGCTCTGTCTTCTCCTTCTTAGTCTCCATGACTGGCTTTCTTTCCTCCCCATGACTCCAGCTTTGGTGTGCCAAGGCTCAGTCCTCCGATCTCTTAGTCTTTCTTCCACTCCCTCCCTAGATGACTTCATGCACTCTAAAGGCTGCTCCATGAGTCAGTGCCACGCATCCAGTCCTTCTCTCCCTGAACTCCGGCCCGCTTTGTCTAGCTGCCTCTTCAACCCTTCCAAGTTGTAAATAGCAACTTCCCTAATGTAATGATCTCGGCTTTGCCACTTGGTCTTGCTCTTTGTCCAGTCTTACCCATCTTAGGAAAGTGGACCGCCATTCCTGCACTTGATAGTACCACAAACATGGCAACTCTCCCTCTCCTTCAGACCTGATGATATTCAGCCCTTTAACAGGACCCTTCAACCCAAACTGTTAAAATGCCTTGCCTGTGACCACCTCTCACTGCTGCTGCAGCCGCCTCTGGTCTGCACATGGCCTTGTTTCCTCACTCTGTTCTTAGTCTCCATACCCATCCTGCACACTGATCTGGGCACTGTAGCCATAGGATCACTAAAAACATAAATTACATCTTGTCCTTCCCCAGCTCAGATCACCCCAGTGGTTTAAAAAAAAAAAACACAATCTTAAGCAGATCCACATGATTTATTTGTCCTATAAGACGCTGCATGACCTGGTTTCAGCTGATCTCTCCAAATTTTTCTCTCCTGTGTCTTGTGCCCTCGCTCACTTCTGCTATTTGCTCATTCACCCTGTAGGGCTTTGCGTGGGTTGATTTTTACCTGGGGTCTCAAGGCTTTTGTGTGCAGGAGGCACTGACCTGCCAGAAGCTCCCCTGCCATGGAGGACCCCCTGACTCCTCTTTCACATACCTGCCATCCTGCCCCATCTTCATATTCTGCTGTATTTTTCTTTACAGAATTTGCCACTACTTGACTTTATGTTATTTATTTGTTTGTTTGCTGTCTGTCTCTGGTGCTGAAATGTAAGCTCCATAAAGGTGGAACTTCACACTCTTCAGTGGTGTATCGTCACCTCCCAGGACAGAGGTGAGGCCATAGTGGATTCTTGGTATATATTTCTGGCAGGATTTCATATAGGGTAGAATTACTGCATTCGGATTCCTTTGCACCCTA